CCGGTGAAGTCTGGGTTTCAGCTCGTTGTCTGGGAAATGGCCAGACCTACAGCCTGTCCCACCTCAGCTTCCAGGCTCTGGTTCATCCCCGTTTGTAGATGCAAATGGTGACTGGGGTGAAGCGGGTCTGCCCTGGCAGAGGAGGAGAGGGGCTGGGGACACCAGCTCCCATGGCTTGGTGGCAGCAGGAGCAGGTACTGACCCCAGTTCCTCCCACCCTGTCCTGGTTTTGCTAGGACAGAGTTAATTTTCTTCTCAGTAGCTGGAATAGCTGTGCTTTGGTTTCAGTGTGGGATTTGGTATGAGAAGAACACTGATAAGGTACAAGGGCACCATGTATGGCTGGTTTCCAGGTGCAAAGGACTGGGAGGGGAGAAGTGTAGTAATTAGCAAAACTCAAATTAGTATTTGAGTTATTGAAATATGAGATATTCCATATCATATAATGGTCAGTACATTAACCAGGGTTGACTGGAAAGCTGGGGGTTCTCTTGGGGATCTCTTGGGCTCACTTTTCTGGGATTGCAGTTTTGGGGTTCATTTTCACTCCTCTGGGATTGCTACTGGTGGGTGGTGAACAACTGTACTGTGCATCACTCATATATATATTATTATTATTATCATGACTTTTTATATTTTATTTTACTCTAATTATTAAATTGTCCTTATCTCAACCTACAAGTCTCCTCACCTTTACACCTCCAATTCTCTCCCCTGTTCCCTGGGTGGGGGGAAAGGGAGGCTGTGTGAGCGGCTGTGTCGTGTTTGGCTGCCAGACAAGTTAAACTATCCCACCATCCTTACTTGATATCTTTGGAATTCGGATTTGTTCACTGCTGCTGCCGTCGCCCCCGTCGCTGAAGGGCTTGATCTCGACGATGTAGTCCTCGTTGAACGGCAGGGAGAGCTCCACGGAGGTTTTATTCGTCTCTATGACCGATGTGCTGCTCTGCCTGTTCCACCGGTACAAAACCTGCGGCGAAGGGGAGAGAGAAGAGGAGGCAGAAACGGCAGAGGTGTCCATTGCCCTAAGGGTGTCTGGATTTACTGCTGCTCTTTTCCTGCCTCTGATGCTCAGACACATGGGCTGGTCACAGAGGGACCCTTCAGACCAGAGGGTTTTTGCTGGGGACGCACAGCAGCGCAGCGGTGATGGAACCTGGGTGGGGAGGTGACACTGGGAGGAAGGCGATGCCAATGTGCAGCAGAAAACACAGCCCCAGTAGAACCCCTCAGCCAAACCTTTAGCTTGATCGAGCTAAAATAAATCCTAACGCTTCTGTAGAGAGGCCAAAACTTCTTATTACACTTCTTCAGGAAACCGAGTTGGGATATTTGATGTGGTGCCACAAACGGCTTCCCAGAATTATTGGCTTTTTTGAATTACTTATAAGATTTGGGAATTCTACTAATATTGATCATAAATCTTGACATAAAATATAAGATTTCCAGGAAAAAAAGAAAAAAAATGAGAAACATTTTGCTATGATTCAGGAAAGAAATCAGTCAGCCTGTGTTACCCTAGCAGTAAGTTAAAAGAGGACTTTTTAGAAACCCGATAGATGGAGTTTGCTTTTTCAGGGTGACGAGTCTCACTCGCTTTCAATTGACTTCTTAATTTGATTTTCAAACCTGAATACGCAGTGAAAAGTTGGTCCAAACTACTGAGGTTCGTCTGAGGTTTTGACTAAAAACCCTGAGGCATTGCTTATGTTGATAATCCGACACAGTGCACCAAAGACACTTGCAAGTTAGTGCAGAGATTCAGGAGCTGGCACAGGTCTGCAAAGCTGCCGCCGCCGGCATTTCCGATTGTGAACAAAATACAAAGGATGTCCAGATCCTTCAGCATTTCAAGCCCTGGTGGAAAGCGTCTGCACAACTCAATGGCTGGCAATTGCACACCAGTGTCTTCTTTGGGTGAAATTAAACCCTTGTGTAAGGTGACAAAGCTGAATTCGTCCCAAGATTTCTCTCCAGTTAAATGACACCCCACTAAAACTGCTCCTCATGAGGATTCTCTTTCTTTTCCTTTTGGTTTTGCTTTCTGAAGAAAATGGGAGCTATTAAAAAAAAAGTATTCTATTTATCAGCCATTAAGGAACCAGCTACAGCCTTCAGAAGGTTTCCACCAACAGCAGGAGAGTCCTGCAGGTAGAGCTTCAGAGGGAAGGAGCAGTGAAGGTCCATGGGCTGAGACCTGCACGGGTGAGTAGCCAGCAGAACATGGTCACTCTACATGGGTATGGCCTCTGTTTCTGGAGGAATGCTCCAGTTTAAACCTGGAAAATCATGCAAGTCCCATGAAAAAAACCATTGTCTGGTCTTACTATAAACTCCAACTTGACCCTGGATTAATGGAAATGTTCCCTGTAGCCCAATCCCAGAATCCAGCGACAGCTGAAGCTTATTGAGGACTCACTGCAGGGCCTTGGGGTGCTGGGGGAGGTGGTGCAGGGAAATGTTGTCCAACCGCCTGTGCTGACAAAATACTCACTTTGTAGCCTCTCACTTCTGACTCGTTGTCCAGCGCTTTCACTTGATCCCAGTTCAGTATGATCTTGGAGTCGGATGAATTCCATATGATGTTCCCAGGGGGCTGACTTGGTGCTATCATAGAATCATAGAATGGTTAGGATTGGAAGGGACCTTAAAGATCATCGAGTTCCACCCCCCCTGCCATCAGCAGGGACACCTTCCACTAGACCAGGTTGCTGAAAGCTATATCAAAACAAACACAGCATTGTATTACTAAGGAGCACTGTTTCCCAGTTGGATCCCTCCCAGTACCAATGTGGCTTCCATCACCATAGCTGAGCGTGCCCAGACCCCTATCGCTCTGGGAAGCTAATGAGCTGTTTCACTGATCTGTGTCCTCAAGGTCACAGGAGATGTGACACAACACAGTGCTCTAAATGAAAAAAAGATCCAGTCAGTTGCTCAACATGTTTGAGATCAGAAGAAAAAAGCCCTCTTGAATGATGAGATAAATATTTCATTTTCCTGCAGAGCTGTGGTTTCAGCTTTGCACGCTCGGCTTCCTTAACGTGGGAAGAGCCTTACGGAAAAAAAATAAATAAAAAATTAAAAAAGGCTGGTGCACAAAAACCTTGTGCACAAAAACCCAGCAAAGACAAGTCTGACAGCTCCTTCAGACTCAAGAAAGCTTGAAAATGAGAGAGGGGATCGCTGGTAGAAGCTCTCTCAGGCAAGAGCCACCCATCCTCACAAACACTCACGTGGCTTTTTGGTGGTGACGTTGACGGCGGCGCTGGAGGGGCCCATCCCAGCCGTGTTGTACGCCCTGACTGCCAAGTGATACAGCACGTTGCCTCTCAGGTTGGTGACTCTTGTAGACGTTTGGTTGCCAACCGTTCGAACCCTTTTTGCGTTCTCTTCCTTTTCATCGTGTCTCCAACACCTGACCTGAGGAGCAGAGCAGGTAGGTGTTATCTGCAGCTATGGGCTGGCAGCACCTCGGTCATTTCCAGTGCTAATTCTGGTGCTTCTGCCCAAAGTGCAAGTGCCACATGGACAAATCCTGCACTGTGACAATCCCTTCTCGTTCCTTGCCAGAAATCAGCACGGCTGCAGTGTTGCCACCCAGGACCTCAGGTGTTGCCTGGCCATGGAAGCACATTCACACAGCTTTCCCCCAGCAAGCTCTGCTCTCCACTTTCAGCCAGAGTACATAAAGAAAAATGCATAATAATTTATGATGTGAGAGGAATCTCTGGGCACTGAACAAAAGGAACCCAATACACCACAGGAACCCACTCGCCCCATGGCATGCAGGAGCAGCACGGCAGCAACTGCCTGTGATGCATCTCCCCATCTCCTGAACTCTTAGTACTGAACGGAGGTCGCGTTGCGTTTCCCATACCTCATATCCCTGTATTCTTCCTTTGTGCTGGTTCTCCCGAGGGGGAGCCCAAGAAACTTCAACATCTGAGGCAGAAAGACTTCTGGCCAAAACAGTGGTCGGGGCTCTCGTTGGCTCTGGGTAGAGGAGTTAAAAATAAAATTAAGAGTTTTCAGTTTTACATTCAATTAGTCCCAACCTTCAAGGGAATTATTTTCTTCATTGCACAAGAAAAGAGGCAACAAACTTCCACATTTCAAAACAATGGCCTTTAGCCAGTGCCAGACAGCACCGCTCCTCTGCTGAAGAAACAGTAAAATGTCATTACTAAACTCAACCCAGGATACCATGTACTGTAATTAGGACAAGAGGGAACATTTTCTAATCAGTGGACATTAATTCATACTAAATCTCAGCAGAATTCTTTCCAGATTACATATTACTTTTCCATTAATATCAAAAGATTTCATTACGATTAATGTTATTTTAATGACTATCAAAAGAATTAATCACGGCTCGACAGTCATTGTAAGTCAGAGCAAGGATTAGGTACCAAAGGATACGTCAAGGTGGATACTAAACCCTTTCAGACCCGGTCTGAGGGTGAGGGAGAGGCTGTGGGGTGGGCTCCTGGCTCTACCTTCCTCTGCCGAGTAGACGACTGTCACGGGGCTGAACGACCCTTCCCCCTTGTTGTTGTACACCCCGACTTTAACTTCGTAGGGGGAGAAGGGCGGCAGGGTCTCGTTGCGGAAGACGTATCTGGCAGCATCCGGGGAGGCCACAACGGTCTGCATCCAACTCACGGTGCCAAAGGGGCGGAAAGCCACCACGTACCCAAAGCCACCTCCGTTCTGCAGCTCCTCAGGCACTGTCTGTGGGCAGGCAGACCACAGGAGAAACAGCACTGTCATCAACAGCACGCGTTTATCTCCCCGTCTGCACACTGGCTATTGCTCTCGGTCCTTCTAAAGCTGCTGTCCTGAACAGCATTAGGGATGGGAGGCGGCTGGAGTCCTACTTCACATCTAACCTGAATTCATCCCACCCTGTCTGTTACAGCTTTGCTGCTCCCTGAGCTCCCTGTAGTCAGCATCTTCTGAAGATGCTTCACCCAAGACTTAATTCATCTTCCTAGGCGCCCACCTTCCTTTACTGACTAGATGAAGCCTCCAATAACGATGCAATTTTAGGTGCTGCAGTGACTCAGAAGCTGAGGTTTGGTGGGGTGAACCAAGGACACGGTTCCCACTTTCCCAATCCACATGCAGCTGCTCTCACATCTTTGGAATCACATGTGAAGCCCTGAAGAACACATCCTGGCAATGTCCCAGCCAGCACGGGGCTGGTGGCCCATTGCTACACAGTGACCCAGAGCACGTCACCCCATATGACGTGACCTTTTAAGAGACCGTGATGGCATGGAGCAACTTGTCACAAACATGATGGAGAAGGGCAGGTAAGTGCTGGGTGAAACAACCTGTCACTTCCAGGTAACAGCTAGAAGAAACAACCTGTCACCTCCAGGTCACTTCTGGACACTCTGACACTTCCTACTCTCAGCCCCTAAAAAGCTGCATCAGAACCCAAAGTGTCAATTTATTAAAATAATCTGTAATTACGAGCCACTCTCCCACAGATGTCCATGGTGCTTAAGCACTTGCAGGGGTATTTTTTTGGTGACTGCTTCTTACTCTCTGATCATAAAGCTCCAAAAATACAGCAGACCATAAAGAAAAGGTCTCTGGACATTTAAAAGAATAAACTGACTCTTCTGTCAAAATACAAATTACATTTTGTGCAAATTACAACTCGACTCGACGGCTGATGTTCTTGCCATGTGTGTTTTTGAAACATATTGCAGTATCTTTAGGAAACAGAGTGTAGCTAATTAGTCCAACGGAGGAGGAAATTTAGCACGTCGAGCTGTGTGGTAAGGACAAAAACCCATTTATAGTTTGTTAATAACCTTAAAAATATCTCTGGCGATTCATTCTGCCAGCTTGGTCAGAAATAGCGCTAAGTGGAAGTGTTAGCATGTCTGGTGAAGTTCATTATTAGGAAAAATATGCCAGCTGCATTGCATCGTAACATGAAAATATGAGCAGACAAATGACTAAAGTTCTAACATCAACTGCCTTAAGGAATATTAGACATTTTTTATCTCTGTGACTCCTCTTGCTGGCTTTTGTTAGCAGCAAGGAAAGGCAGCAATGTGCAATGTGTTGTGCTAACTCTTAACTATGTGCTGCCATATAACCCAGCACATGGACAAGGGTTGGAGCTTGGGAGCCAAGCACGTGCCAAGCCTGGTTTCACAAACTCTCTTTTATCCCTCAGGTGGTTCCTGCCCATCTGTGTTTTGCTGTATGGGTACAGACGTGCTCAGAGCCAGGCAGAGCTGAGCTCATGTCGAAGCAGCGATGAAGAGCCCGTTCCCCATGGTCCCCTGCACAGCACTTCTCTGCTGGCTTCCTCGCATGGGCACCTGGGATGGGGAAGGGGTGTTGCTCAATTTTAATACCTGGGCTATTTTATCACACAATCTGGGCTTTTTTTACCACAAACCATTTGATATCTGGCATCTGGGGTGAGAGGGCACATCTAGATTTGAATTTCTCTCCTGCAAGGGTTCTGAGGCATTGGAAGGGGTTGCTCAGGGCAGTGGTGGAGTCCCCATCCCTGGAGGGATTGAAGAGTCGTGTAGACACAGTGCTGAGGGACATGGGTTAGTCGGGGGCTTGTCAGTGTTGGGTTCATGGTTGGACTTGATGATCTTAAAGGGCTTTTCCAATCCAGGCAATGCTGGGATTCTGTAGATCAAGATATTAATTTTCCTCTTAGTTTGGACTCCACTTACCTCCCAAGTAATGACCAGCTCAGACTTGCTCCCTCCACCACCACTGACATTAGCTGGGGTCACTTCAGGAACTGCAAAAAAAAAAAGATGCAGAAGATGCACTTGGTGACTTTGAAACCAGAAAAGTGCATTGAAATGGAACAAACCGACGCAGCAACAGGACTCTGCTGGCCTTCTCCTGCTGGGTACCAGAAATGCTGTTAGGAAATGACTAATTTGCCATGGCAAATAGCACATTAAAAGTATGTCAATAATAGTATATTAAAAGTATGTCAATTAACTTGTGTATTCAGTCACTAATTCTTTAGTTTAAACATTTATCTTCCATAAAAAAGGCTTTTATTTATTTTTGTCTCATATTCTGTTCCATTACAGGCTAAAAGAGAACAGAGGAGCCACCTACCAGGGGTTTCCCCATAACTGAGGCACATGTCCCTGCAGCCACCATGCTGAGCCTACACCTTGCCATGACCCCTTTCTGCCAGATCAAAAGACAGGGACAACACCAAGGAGCATTAAAGTTCTCGAGGTTTGTAGCTTGTGCTGAAATCCCTGAACACAGGCACTACTGAAGATCATAGAATCATAGGATGGTTTGGGTTGGAAGGGACCTTACAGCTCATCCAGTTCCAACCCCCCTGCCATCAGCAGGGACACCTTCCACTAGACCAGGTTGCTCAAAGCCTCATCCAACCTGGCCTTGAACACTTCCAAGGAGATCACCCTTAAGCTGTTCCTGCAGCAGCCTGAAGACAGTGTGGTTCCAGAAGGCAGTGGTGTGTCTGAGACAGAGTCACAGAAGATAGACCTTCAGTAAGCCCATTAAATGATATAACCCATAGGGCAGCCCAGGGTGGTTTCTCCAAGGTTCATGGCCCACAGGGACAAGGTCCAAGTTACTCTGAGAGCCACAGAACCTCCCAGCACCAAGGGACTGCCAACTCTCCAGCTGTGAAGCTCAAACTCCTGCTCTCAAGGTGCTGTAGTCTGTGCTCTAGAGTTTCCATCACACTGATCGTGGGAAAGCAGAGGGACTGCTCCCAGAGTTCATCTCTCTCATAAATGGACACTGGGCAGTATTTTCCAAAAACCCTGCACAAATACCTCTTTTTGGAAAATCATTGCTTTCTGCAGAAAAAGGGGATGAAGTCTTCCTATACATCCAGGAGTCATGGAGTGAGCAAAAGAGCCCATTAGGAGCTTCACAGCTTCTACTGCCTGTTCTGTGCACACAAATAATGTGCTACGAGGGAGGAGAACAATGGGCATAGAAAGTGCTCCTCAGCTTCCTCCAATACAACACATCCATTAGCACCAACAAGCATTTATTCAACAAGACTTAACTCAGTTGCCCACCACTACTTACGAGCTTCTTCAGTTCTTCTCTTCTCTGAAGGTCTGCTGGGTTCTCCAATCCCAATCAGGTTGGCAGCCACAACTCGAAATTCATACTCAACCCAAGGGTTCAAACCCACCACTGTCGCTGTGAACGTCCTGCCATCGATGATCTCTGGAACTAGGAGACAACCACAGGTCAGGAGCACAACAAAACCCATTAAAAGCTGGAAAGGCTGCTGAGAAAAGGTCCTTAAAATACCTTAAAAGTGAGGGATTAACATATACACAAAGCGATAAGGATGGATAAACCTTTCCTCATTTCTCTAACCTTTTGTTAACTGCAAAGAAGTCAAAGAGGCAGCACCAAAACATTGTGCTTTTCAGCACCGAAATTCCTGCTATTAAAGGGTTTCTCCTAAATTGCCACTATTTGAAAACAAAGTTACGAGACAACAGGTTGAAAGGCTTTTTATTTTTCTCTTTTGAAAACACAGTGTTCCCTTTATTTAATGGGTACCAGAAAAAAATTAACCTCTGACAGGATGAGCAATTACATCATGGGATTTTCCCCCCCCCCGCATCAGGAAAATAATTCTACTTAAAGATAGGCCAGATGACACGGTCTGTCCCTGAGGGATGTCTTTATAGACCACAATTACTGCTGTATATCTCCAGCGCGGCAACAAAAGATAGGAATTCATTCTGTTTTCTCTTAAACATTCATGAGAAAAATGGATGAGTAATAGCACCGGCCGGACCCTAAATCTTTGACTTGCCAAACTTGAAACTAGTTAATAAGACCAGTGCTCTGCTGCCAGAGAAATTGCTTTTCACTTCAGGGTGCAGAGCTGCTCTGCTCAGCCCATGCGTGGGTCCTGATAGATGCATGTTCCATCAGTGGAGCTCTTCAGGGAGCAGGTGATGGACCTACCTGTGCTCACCGCTTGCCATCCCACCGAGAAGGGGGTCCTTGCTTGTACGACGTACATTGTAATAGGGCTGTGGTTGTCTGCCCCTGGCCTCCAGGACAGTTGAGCGGTGGTGTCGGTGATTTCATCTATTGTCACAGCTTCTGGTGGACCTGGGGGACCTGTGGGAAGAATTACAGGAGAGTGCTTGGAGCTTTGCTCAAGGAAGGAGCACTCTGATTTCCTTCCCTTGTTCAGGACAGAGGTTACAGAGTCCCTGCAGAGGAGTTAAGCCCAACCCCAGCTGTGGTTTAGCAGCTCTGCTTGCCTAGATGAGACTGGGAGGCATGGAGGAGATCTACAAACCCATGGAGGAGATCCACAAACCCATGGAGGAGATCCACAAACCCAGAGCTCACCAGCTTCACTGACAACCCGATTTTTTGGCTGCAGCTTGGATACACCCAGAGGCTAGTGAAGAATGAAGGACCTGCCTGTAATTAGCATCATGTCTGAGTGTGGACCAGTATTTTCTATTTCACTGAGTTCCTTCTAACCAGTAAAGCACTGTAGGACATATTGACCAGAGAGAGGACCTCTCCTGTATCATATGGCCACTGCTGTCAATTGTGGTACTTGAGGTGAAGTCTCTCCCCAAAAGCACCATCTCAAGTTAACTCTTCTCTTGTAATTCATTCTTTGGGCTAAAATTATTCTCATATGACATTGAGGGAGCTGGACATGTTTAAATATCTAAAACACCCTGAAACCTTCCAATATCCTGTCTTTAAAATGAAAGTTTCAGTAGGTCTAGCCAGATTTAATTTATCAGAAATTAAAACTTTAAATTGTTTTGCTGGGGGGGTGGTAGCCACATGACAGAGCCTCATGAAGCAGTCAGCTCCTTGGGTCCCTCACCACAAGTGACACCAGGGAAATGAAATTTCATCGGATCCATCACAAATTACTCCTGCTGCTTGGCAGAGGCTGAAACAAGCTGTCTTCACTTCATGTCTTGGAATAACCATGGTTATTCCCAACCTTTCAGAATACACTTCTTCACAGGGTGCAGGCTAGAGTAGGGCAACAGAGGGAAAAAATTATCAGTTACCAAGTTACCAAATATTTTTGGGCTGCTGATAAGACACGTGCTTCTCCTGTTCTGATGGTGTGAAGAAATCCCACCCTGGACAAGTGGGCTGGTCTGTGTGTATGGTGCCAGGGGTTACTGCTGTGTGCTCGTGGGATGTCCATTAACACAAAGAATTGATTTTTATTCCAGTATCTAATATCTTATTATTTTGACATAACTCCAATATTTATCTTATTATTTTGACATAACTCCGATATTTACAAAAAAACCCCCTTCCAAAATAATTCTGAAGGCTTTATTTATGCACCAGGTTTTCCCCTGCCTCTCCAAATCCCACAGCTCAGGGATATTTCCCAATTTTTATGCAGCCAGTGAGACGATACAGCACAACTCTCAGCACAACTCTCAGCACAACCCTGGGACCGCTGGCCTGGATGGAGATGTCCCTGTTGGTATTTTTTAAAGAGTGATAAGATCAGTATTTTTACCATCATCAAGGGTCATTTTCCTGTGAGAACTTACTGTTCCTCCTGTTTGTTTACAGAGTCAGCACAAAGGAAATTACCTAACCGAGGTGCCCAGCAGCCCAGCAAACATGTTTTGAAATGTTTGTGCAAAAGGAAAAAAAATCATTTAAAAAAATCTGAAATAGTGGTGCAGCAAAACCCTGAGAGTCAGTGTAATGGGGAGCAACCTCCTGGGGAGAGAGTGGTGGCTTTGGTGCCTCCAGGGCCCAGCTCTTTGTATGGCACATGGCTAAGAACATCTGCATCCATAGTCCTATGGTGGAAATGTGGTAAGCGGCGTAACAATATTATGAGGATAACAGGAACAGCCAGCTACAGGCAAGGACACATTTCTCAATGGAAGTTCAGGACCTAACCTTGCACGTTTTACTCTGGCACAGCTTTGATAAAGAGGAAATGTCTCGTTTTTCATGCTCTTCTCCTTTCACTGAGCTGCCCGAGAACTTTTATGACATGGAGAATGTGCAAACTGTGATTTCGCTGGGGTCCACGAGAACTGAGGGTACCAGGTACAGAGCAGCACCAAATTTTGCTTTCCTGAAAGCTAACGAGCAGGGAAATCTAGCTCATATTTATTGTAAGGGTCTAGGCTCAGGTTAACTAATTGCATCTCTGTTAAAGTCATACTTACAGCTCGCCCATGGGTGGTAATGGATAGATCTTGAAGTATCAGTGAAGAAACCCAGCTCTGTTTCAGCTAAAAACCAGGACACTAAGTCATGTTTATTCTAGAAAAGGAACAATATTGCTGGGGAGAAAGGCAGTCGATAAGCTGGATACTGGTTCTGCTGCACAGTTCATCAAACAAATGAGCTCAGCTGGTGCAAGTTTTGCATTGAGGACAGGGACATGTACTGGTGTGTGTATCTGTGCCGTGTGTCTGTTGTATGAGAACATACACATGAAAGAATCTTTATGTGCACCAACTGAAAGCGTGCTATGAACCCCAGCGTGTACTTAGAGCTTATTTCTTAGATTAATTACAAAATGCTGGGATCACAGAACCACAGAATAGTGGGGGTTGGAAGTGACCTCTGGAGATCATCTAGTCCAACCCTCTACCAAAACAGGTTCACCTCAAGCAAGTTGCTCTAGGGATCTCAATGAATGTCTCTAAGTCCAGGAATTGTCTTCCCAGCAGCAAAAGATATGGGGGGAAAAAAAATAATAAAAAAAAATTTTACAACAACAACAGTAACAAAATTCAAATACCTCTTACAATCAGGTCTGCAGCAGCCGATAGCTTGTCCACACTTGTTTGCACCATGCAGACGTACTTCCCAGCATGCTTCAGCTGGATGCTTCTGATCATCAAATCACCAGCTGAATCCTGCTGATAAAGTCGGGAAAAGTGGTTACAATTACTTTTTAATGAGCGCTAAACATCATTATCACATGAAGGACACTGTGACTAATGGATTTACTTTACGCTGGCTGATGAAAACTTTAGTAATGCAAGCCGTGGCCTGTTCAGGTTCTGTGAGCCTGCCTTGGAGATAAGAGCAGGAGCGTTGCTGGAATGATGGCTCCTACAAGGGGCAGGGGAGCTCGGTTTGGGGCTGTTAAACAGTTTCTCCATTAAAACAACGTGACAAAGCTTATGTAGGACAGGTTCGCTCACATTCCTCCTTTATCTCTCTGGATATCCAATTTATAGCCTCTCTGCTATTCAGATGCCCAAGTTGTGTCTACATCGATTTCCTAAGTGGAAACCAGCCCAAATTATGAGACATCTGCAATAGTTTCACGGCTTTGTATTACGGCCAGCATTCTGATTGCCCGGTGTTTTTGTGCTAAAGATCATGAGAACAGCACTCTCTGAGGAAATCTTGCATCACCTAACAGCAGTAATTTGTTTTCCAAACGCCAAGTGCATGTCTGATTAACTGTTGAATAGAACTAATTATGTTTCTGTATGTATAGGAAGCTGAAAATTCTCTCTCTAAATTTTTCTCCAGACACAAAGCACTCGATACATTAGAAATCTCAGAGTAACCTTGTGCTTGTGGCTTTCTGACTGAAGAATATTAATAAATTTGTAATTTTAGCTTTGCAGGCCAATCAGGCGCAGTGGCCGGGAAGTGCTGTCGCTGCTGCTGTGTGCCCTAGGCACCAATCTTTAAGTGTGTCTTTTAATGATTTTGGGGGTTTTTTTTAGGGATAACAGCAAAGCTTGTAAATTGTATTTCCTTTTCCTTTCAGCATTACATTTCACTCCTGACAAATGTGGACACGGACTGCCAGTGTGCCTGAAACCCAGCGGAGCGTGTGGCTGTGAAACCTCCCTCGGAGCAACGTGCAAAACCCTTCCCAGTGTGAACACATCATTCACGGGAGCAGATTTATGTCATGGCATTAAACAATTCTACACCAACTAGAATGAAGTGGCACACTGGCAACGTTTATCTTCTCAGTTTACAAGACACAAAATAACATGTCCTACCATTAACTTCTAGTCAAATTAATTCATTCCATTAGTAGCCTCTTTCTATGTTACCCACTTTTATCACTGTGAGGAGATTGCTTTAGTATTAATACTTACCCCTCCAACTCTTTCAAAGTGATCCCCATCTTTTTCAAAGTCTATCAGGTGTCCATTAAACGACCAGGTAAACATGATATCTAGTGAGTGATCGTGAGATACCTGACAAGGCAAGACAATGCTTTCTCCAACAGTGACATCCATGCTGAAAGGTGGCACCGTAACCCGGGTTGGATCTATAAACGACAAAGACAAAGGAGGAAAAAAAACCCCCCATTAATTCTGTCCTCCTGAGAAATGGAGAGAGATGTAGAGCTGAAAAAGATCCCGAGCAACCTACCACAACCACAGCATCACCACCAGAACTTGAAAAATTTGCAGTAATCACTTTGGAAGGTCGTTAATGCAACAAGTGAACTAACACATCTTTGATTTTATCCTCCAATACCTTTCTCTTTTCATTAGATCCAAAACACCATTAATTAATCCTCCAGAATCCTCTTTTCTAGCCACCATCCAGATGAACAAGGAGAAAAGAAAAGGCTAGAAAAGAGTGTAGCAGATCTGAAAGGCTTGGTTAAAATTTTTGAAAAAGCTTTGATATCAGAGATTATTTTATTTGAATCTTCTTACTTCAAAGAATTGTTTCACAGCCATGTATTGCTCACCATGGTTATTAAAAAAAAAAAGGAATTTTGTTATTGTTAAATTAAATGCTGCCTTAAGAAAACTCTCTCAATGGAAAATCTCCAAAACTGGAATGAAGAAGGATATATTAAAAACATGAGTGATAGCTGCTTGGACCTGGAAAGGGAAAGATTCGACTACCATTATTGTTGTACACTATGTTTATTGAAAACTTGGTGTTTCTTTACAATACTGGCCATGTTCTCTGTCTGATGGATGGTTCTACATTTTAAATTCATGTAGTTCTCTCTGTCTGAGGAGGGCCCACACAAAGAATAAATTGAAATGATGAATCTTTCACTCCATGGAAACCAAAACTCTGCCCCAATAAGCCAAGTTCTGTAGTACTGGTCAGACCAAGGGGTTGGGGGGTAAGATGTGGCTCTGGGTGTAGTAACTCCTCTGCCTGACGTGCAGCTGATGTGGGTCAGTTAATAGGTCAGACAGACTCTTGAGGACCTCTGAGGTCTTACAGGAGATGTCACTGACCTGGTGAACAAGAACTAAGCAAATATTTTGAGGAGGTGAAGCAGAAGAAAGGTGAGAAATGGCATTGTCCTAAACACAACGTTTGCAAGGGAAAGCCCCCAATCCTGCAGGTATCTGTGATGTAGCAAATTCTGTCTGTGAAATATGGGCAGCAGCACCTATCAGCTCCACCTTGGGCTTCAGGACTAACCCCTTATTCACAGCTGGAGTTCACATGGATCCTTTCCCACTGGTTTAATTGTCTATTTTTCACTTTAGTCGTGCAGTACGAGCAAAATGGTGGCACAGAAAGATGAGCCATGACACATTATGCAGAGTTCAGCTCCTCATCTGTGCCTGTGAATTCCCTCTGCCTTGGAAGTTAACATTTGTCTTTCATGCCTGTTGATAAAAATGCCGTAATTTTTTTCTTACAAGGCCTCAGAGGAAATGAAAAGGAGAAAAAATATTGCTTAACAATAAGACCAAAAGTCTGAAAACCATATACAGATAGATATTTTTGCTTATTCCAAAAGTCTATTCTGCACAGCTGTCATGGTAAAATACTACGAGCATTATTCATTCTCTGCTACATGAAACCAAAATCCCAACTACTTCTTCCAGAAACTATTGTCCAACTGCTTAATTCTCTGCTCAAATAATAAGGACACAGCAACAGAGGCACTTACTGGGCAGAACCTACTCACTGCAATTCAGGGGATGCAAAGCTGTTCCCGGGTTTTCAAAGGCTTCACCAGAAGTGTGCAGGAGGTAGTGAAAAAGATTTCATCGCTGACTTAAATAGGCTTCAGATCAAGTCCTCAGGGACTTGGCTGTATTACCTTCGACAGATTTAATTCATCTCAGGTTTGGTTTCAATTCTAACAAAATAGGGTAACTCCTAGCAGAACCACAGTAGATGTTATGAGGCTTAACTAATTAATAAAACATTTTAAGTTTCTCAGGAGAAAAGCAGTCTAAGTGCAATTTACTAAAATATTGTTTAATTCTTGCCTAGACTGATGACATTGGTTTTGATTATAACTGATGCATGAGGATTTTACAATCACTTGGGATTGCTACTACTGAAACTCAAGAACACCTGGAGCATCCCAAGCTCAGGATGCTACAGAAACACCCACATCTGCAGTGAGGTTCAGACACAGAATCACTTACTGAAATGCCTTTCAGCATCAGAAGTTCATCCTCTGCCCTGCTCAAAGCCCATATGAAATATTTATGGAGGATATGACTCTGAGATGAAACGGCTACCTCCCACAAAGCCCCAGGCTCTCCAAGAGTCCCATAACAACCCATGTAAGCCGTGGTCCTTAACAAGTGTCAGCACCAAGGTTTTGCTGTAGCTCACCCTCGCCTCCATGGCACTCTCTGCAGGAAGAGAGAAGTCCACACCACAAATCTGATTCTTCCTGTTGCAAGAGAGAGAGTTGGGGCTGTTCAGCCCAGAGAAGAGAAGGCTCCAGGGAGACCTTCTAGTGGCCTCCCAGTACCTGAAGGGGCTACAAGAAAGCCGGGGAGGGACTGTTTACAAAGGCAGGGAGTGACAGAACAAGGGGAAATGGCTTCAGACTGGAAGAGGGGAGGTTTAGATGAGATATTAGGAAGAAATTCTTTGGTGTGAGGGTGGTGAGACAGTGTCCCAGGTTGGCCAGAGAAGTTGTGGCTGCTCCTCCCTGGAAGTGTTCAAGGCCAGGTTGGATGAGGCTTTGAGTAACCTGGTCTAGTGGAAGGTGTCCCTGCTGATGGCAGGGGGGTTGGGACTGGAGGAGCTGTAAGGTCCCTTCCAACCCAAACCATTCTATGGTTCTATGAATACATGCAGTTCATGGAGACATTAAGAGTGAAACATGGGGGTTTGCTAAAGACCTGCTTTCCAGAGCAGCTTAGCACAGCTCCTGTGGACATGAGAGGAACTGCAAGTGCCTGGTGCCTCCAGACCCTCAGGTCTCAACCTGATCCTGTCAAGAAGTGCTGTGATCTAATAGCTGAACATACCAGGTTATGGGAACGGCTGACACAGCATGGTGAGAGCTGATGCGTGGGGAGGGCTCTGACCCAAGCCATGCTCAGCACAAGCACGAGCCCTGGCAAAGCACTTTACAAATCACCCCAAGGAGAATGCTTACCCATCTCTTCTCAAGGACTGGGAAAGCTGAAAAAAAAACCAAAACCCATCTCCTTCTCCCCTGTTAATAACCCCAGCAGAGCAGCAAATGGAAAATGTTCTTCAGGAGCCAAGTGAGGGCAGCCGAGTGTAGACACACCTTGGCGACAGGCAGCCGAGTGGGAAGCAAAATTATTACATTTGCATTTTCCAAACCTTGTAACATCGGGCACTTTTTAATTCATGGCAAGTGCTTTAATGATACCAAAATCAGGTTGGGTAGTGTCCAAGTCAAAAATAAATAAATAAATAAATGTTTGGGTTTTTGATTCTGAGCTAGCTATTCATTTATTTATGGTTCATTTGCAAGGCAAGAGAGGCAGTCTGAGGAGACAGATACCATGGGAGAGCTGATCTCAATACTCTGTTACTGTCCTGTCCCCCCTAAATGCAGGTTATTTTTCTTAGATGTCTTTACTTACTAAGGGCATTAATGCCAAGAACAGTTAATTTAGAAAAAAAAAAAAAGATTGTGATTTTGGTGATATTTTGAGAATATATTCACCTCTGGAGCACTCTGGTACATTTTGAGATAGTTTTAAAAATAAGGCTGAAAGATTTGGTTGGAGATAAGGGGTAAGAATTTCTATTAGCAGCATCTCCCCTTACAGCTGCCTGCAGGTTTCTGAGCTCCCCACAGCAGGAAGCAGCGTCGGGCACTTCCCATATCTCCTGGAGAAAGAACAGACACAAAAACCAGCAAAATTGTGCTGGGTCACTTCTGAGAAAGTTCATCTGAGAAGTTTTAAGAGGAGAAATAAGTGAACACTTGCAGGGGATGAAAAGCCCTCTGTCTTCAGGAGGTAAAATAATCTGGATTTTAGTCTCAAATAGGAAATAGGCAAAAAAATAACTGCACTGTACGTGCAAACACATTCAGTAGGTGTCCTGGAGGAAGAGCAAATGCAGTGAGAGCAGACATGAGCTGGGCTTGGCTTTGCTACAGAGCAAAAGGGGACCTTTGTGTCTTTTCTCCCAAGGAACAAGTGACAGGACAAGAGGAAATGGCCTCAAGTTGCACCAAGGGAGGTTCAGGTTGGATGTCAGGAAAAATTTCTTCACTGAAAGGGTTCTCAGACACTGAAACAGGCTGCCTAGGGCAGTGGTGGAGACCCCATTCCTGGAGGGATTTAAAAGTCAGGTAGATGAGGTGCTCAGAGATCTGGTTTAGTAGTGGGACAGGTACAGTTGGACTCGATGATCTCAAAGGTCTTTTCCAACCAAACGATTCTGTGATTCTTTCCTGCCCAGGGGCAGGAGCAAGGCAGGCTGAGGTGTGGACTGTGTCCTCTGCAGACTGGTTAGGGACTGTCTGTAGGTGTCACTGAAGGCTCAGGGAAGGAGGAAAGCTCCTCTCACCCTTCCTTTCACACCGGTTTTCAGGAGCACACTTTGTGTGTGACAGAAACGGCCTTTTTTGGTTTTCTGTGCAGTTTTCCCTGCATGTCTGCCAGGCCAGCAGCTCACTGAGGGGCTCAGCTTGGAGCTCCTTGTTGGAAACGAGGTGGGCTGAGCAGTGTGAAAGCTCATGGGGATGGTCCTCAGCTGGAGCAAACCCACACGGCCAGTTCTGGATGCCACTGCCATCAGCCCCGGGCTCCCTAGCAGGGTGCTCTGAGGCTCTCTGAGCTTTTCTTACCTATTTTTTTCCTGTGTTACAGCCCTTGGTTTCACTGCTGCAGCAGATTGCAGAAAATTGGGTGTATTTCTGACTGATTTAATAGATTTAGGTTTATATTCCAAGAGATTTAAAGTAAGTTTTCTTGCTAGCTTTCAGTTTGTCAGAAGAAACAGAGCTGAGCAGCAGCTCTTGTCTGTAGGAAGGCTGCAATTTGTCCCTTGTCCCCTGCTAAAGGGAACCCGTCATTAGCTGTTAGTGCCGCCTGTCTCCTTTCG